AAGGGGAGCTCCTCATCATGGCTGCATTGCCACAGTTCAGCATGACCATAGGGGGCTACAGATTCTTCACCCCAACCACAACTCCAACTCTATTCCTCCTTCTTGTCCCAGCCTCCCTGACATAAAATCAACATGTGGGAGTGCTAAAGAAGGTTTAGGATGGTTTAGAATATGAGTGCCAGCATAAGAACAGGAAGCAGGGCAGGGTAGGCCCAAATTGGGAGAGAGGGACAGATCATCTCACTCCTCCTTGTACTGAAGGGTGTGGGAGAGCATGTAGTTTTTCTGTACCTACTCTTACCCACTCTCCACACCCATTACTTTTCACTGTCAAAGGAGAAATGACTCTTTGCCATCAACACAAAGGTTGTGGGGTTCAGTATAGATAGGTAGCAACTTAGAGCCTTTTATTCTTTTCTCCTCCCTTGGGAAATGTTTGCTTATATTTGGGGGATTATATGAAAGATACAACAGTGGAAAGCAACTAGGATAGTTGGAATTTGTATGAACAAATGGAGGTGAAAATGATGTTGAGGGTGAGGGATGTGGTGGCAGGGGGGAATATATTATCCTTTGAGTTTTCTGACCCAAGATTCTCTCCCTTTCCCTCTCTTAGTTGATTCCCCAGATCTCCTCCTTGACATGGTATACAACTATGACACCCCTGATGGTGGTGCTGTCCATAACAGCCGTGAAAGATGCCATCGACGATCTGGTGAAGTGGCTTCCTCGGCCTCTAGTTCCTCACTGCACCTAGTCAGATTGTGGGCATGAAGGGCTTCCCAGAACTACCTAGTGCTAACAAGAAACCCTGAATGGAAAGAGATATTTTCCTTTCTCCTTTCCTTATCCATCCCAGAGTAATATGCAGTACCTTTAGGCCCAAGATTGGTGGTCTATGTATGGCCAGAAAAGGGCAAAACAAGGTCTTTCTCTGTCTTCCTACTACCACCACTTTTAGCCCCTCTCCCAAGCCTCCTTCCATCTTTAATACCCTACTCTTTCTTTACTCCTCTCTTAGTTTTTTCTAGCTTTGTTCTCATCGTTTTTCCTCTGCTCCTCCTCCCACTCTATATTCCCTATCCCTTCATCCATCTGCCCCTGCTTCATCTCTCCTATTCTTTCTCTTTCTTGTTATGTCTCCACATTTCCTGTCTCCTCTGCAACTCTATTTTCCTTTCCAACTTTCAATTCTATTAAGTGTGCACAGCTAGGAACCCTCTGTCCCGGCCTTGAAAGAGAAACTAGCTGACAGTGAGTGCTGCATGGCTTCCTCTTTGCCTCTTACAGCAGGCCTAGCATAGAGGGGTAAGAGTAAGGACCCAGTACCATGCCTACTAGTGGGATTTGGAAAGCCAGTCCTATAGACCTGCTTGCAGTTTCCCTAAGAGGGTCTTTCTGATTTTGCCAGAATAGATTTTTAGCCTAGTTTGAGAACACCTTGTTTCCTCAGCACTTTATCTCTATAAACCCAGGATTAGCATGTTGTGGTTTACCTTTCAGTCACAACTTTGATGTATAAAAATATAACTTTATTTCTCTATAACTGAACTCAGTTTAGCTTATAACCAAATGCATACCCCATCTTAACTCTCTCCAATGAGAACCAAAAATTAATTTGCCAATTCACTGTAACCCAGTTACTTCTGGTTTAGAATTCAGTCTCTTTATGATAAATATCTGGACAATTTTGAATTCTGACAAATTCAGGATTCTCTCTGCCCCACTCCCAGTCCTACCCTTTACTCAGGGAGTAATCTCAACTGGAAGGAAGAGATTTATGTGAATCCTGGCATCAGGACATAGCCTCTATTTGTTTCCCTTCTATTTGGTCTTTAAATATTGGCCTCTTTCCTCAGCCACTATAGAAGTCTTTGTATGTCGGCCATGGTTGGAGGTAAGGTAGGAGTCTGCTTGAGAATACTCAGCTTTCCCCGCACCTACCCAGGCACATGGGATTCTGTAGCCCTGCGCATCATTTGAATTGTGTCCTCTGCAACTTTTGATATGTTATTCTCATTCCCCCAGGTTTTTTGCTTTTGATATTTAAAACCAAGATTTTGCCTCTTTCTTCTCCCTGGATTCTTTTCCTGCCCTCTCTTCCCAGCTTCCCAGAGATAATCAACCTCTTGGCCTGGTTTTAAGGAAAGAAGGGCTTGGGATGGGAGAAAAGGAGAATTACAAAGAAGAGAACTACATTGTGTAATATTTCAAAATGTTAATCTTCCATATGCAGTTTGTTATAGGTCTATTTCTTGAACATTTTCTTGTGTGATTTTAGAAGAGGCATCAAAGTGACAATCGAGTCAACAACCTGCCTGTTCTGTTACTGGTGAATGGCAAGTAAGTTCTTCTAGGGAAGCTAGTTTAGGTAGAATCAGTCCTGAGAAAGGGTTGGGCTTAGTTCAGGACACTGAAAAGAACCTCAGACAGAGAAATAATTTGTTTCTAGATCTAGCATGCCCTGAATTTGTCATGTCACCTCAGATAACGGTGTGGGCCTCATTTTTCTTTTCTATAAAATAGAAATAATATTCTCTACCTTAGAGGGTGCTTGTGAAAATAGAAATAAAATAATATATATTAAAGTCATCAATATTTTATGGTATTACTATGCAAGTGATATTATTAGTGTGATAGTTAGCATGGAAACATCTGTCTTTAGAACATTAATGGATTCTGACATGGTTTTTGTCCATTCTACTATAGCCTTTGGTCAGGTCATCTTTTCTGTTAGCAATCCAAACAGAATATTGAAGTTGGCCCCACTGCTGTAGTGTTTGGTCATAGCTATCTAAAGTGTTGCAGGAATGGAAAAAGAAAGGCATATTCCTATGTAAGGCAAAATATGAAGACTGTCCTAAGAGGTACAAAAAGTTACTATAGAAATTAATAAAAAATAAGCAATTATAACTGGTTAAAGGAATCAAGGAAGACTTTCTGGAAGCGGTGTGGTGTTTGTACTAGGCCTTAAGGGAAGCGGAAGAATTCGACAAGTAGAACTGTGTGAAAGGAAAAGGGACCAGTGTGAGCAGAAGCATGATTGCAAGAAAGTGCAAACCTGAAGGAGTTCAGGATTGAGGTCCAGCCTTTATTATGGTGGCCTTATCGAACACGCAATAGCTGTAGTATTTATCATATAATTCTATCATCTCAAGAGCTTGGGCAGCTAATCCTGTTGTATATTGTGTCTGCGGATTCTTACTCATGATGGATTGTTTCCTCAAGAGTTTTGACCTGTTGAAATGTCCCATAAGATACCACCAAAAAAGTCAGTTGTAGTTAAAAAGAAAAGAAGGGAAATAGAAATAAAAAGAAAAGAAAAGACAAAACTGAATATATTAAGAATTGCTGACCAAAAGGATTTAGTCAAATCAACTCACCCAAGTAGCTTGAGCACTTGGGTTTTATAAGATTATTGAAGAATTTTTCATAGAGGGATTTTAAGGTGGGATTTAACAGACAAGACCCTGGTTAGACTCTGTAAGCTACCGAGTAACTGATTAGTTTAATATGCAGAGGTGAGGTTGGTTGTGGAAATAGTCTACGTTCCAGAAAACAGCTTTCTTTTTCTAGAACACATGGGTCTAAACAGAGCTGCTATTTTAAACGTTTGTCTGTTTTATAAGTTGTAATTTTTGTCATTTTTCATTTCTCAATAATTTTGTTTACAAACACATCGTTAGTAGAACCTTCTTTAAGGGAATTCTGTGTGGCTGGAGGTGAGGTTGTATCCCTTTATAAGGGTTTGTGTTTGTTTCTGCCAGTTGACTCAAGGGTATTACCTGCTGATACCTAATTTGAAAGAAGTATAAATTTGAGCCCCATCCAATATGAGGTTACAGATTTTCAGGGAAGAGTCCTCCACTCACTAACGCCCGCAACCCTCCAGACTAAGATAGACAAACTTTCTTGCCAGCGAGCCAATGTTTTTTTAGATCGCTCTTTCACTAATGGTGTTGTCCTTCAAGGGTCCTGACTTTATGAGAAATTCTTAGTTTTAACTCACTGACTCTCAAAATCATAAGGCTTTATCTCTTGTCCCTCTGGTGGGAGAAACTGAAATTCAAATTATTAGATTATTAAAACTGGCAATCCTTCCCCAACCCAGGGCAAGAACAGCTTCAGAACATGCTTACTGTTTTGGATTACAAGATTAAGTATTTTAAATCAGTAAGGAATGTCTTCACCTCTCCCAAATCTGGGACACGTGATTGTTATAATGTCCAGGAACAAACTGGTAATAGTTTGGCAGCTCCTTATGTAAGAAATTATAAATTTTTATATCTCCAGGAGAAGCCAGAATGTGACAGCACTTGTTCCTCTTTATGTTTTACTGGTGACAACCATGGAAGATAGAATGCCAGCGTAATAGTGAATGTCAAGTCAAGACAAAACACCCAGACGTCTGTCTCCAAGGCTTGTAGCTACTGCTCTACAGTACTGTCAGAAAAGTATTTAAAAGAAACAGTGGATTTATATAAAAGGACTTTTTTTGGAAAAGTTGGCCCTCCTCAAAGCAGCTGTCTTCTTAGGAAAGGTGTTCTAGGAATACCCATGCCTATGCGTAGCTGGCAAAGTGGTGATGTATGTCATGCCCTGAAGATAACAATCCTGCATTCAGAGACAAAACAGACAGTGTCCTGTAGACTCTTTTTCCCGCTCTTTGGGTGCTTGGTATAATATAACTGTTGCAAGGATATAGCTCATGTTTCCAAAATGCTTGCGGCAATATGTACATTCTTCTTAGTCTTTTCTCAGGGAGGAAGGATTTATGGACCCTGTTTATTTGGGGAAATTGAGGTTGGAAAAAAAAAAAAAAGAGGAGGGCAGCAAACCACTATTATTGTAGAATCTGCTCATACTGCCAGGCTGCCTTTTATGGAAAGTAGGGATGTGAGGATCAAAGATAATCTAATTTTAACATAAGTAGATAAAGGCCGGGCGCAGTGGCTCACACCTGTAATCCCAGCACTTTGGGAGGCCGAGGCAGGCGGATCATGAGGTCAGGAGTTTGAGACCAGCCTGGCCAATATGGTGAAACCTCGTCTCTACTAAAAATACAAAAACTAGCCAGGCGTAGTGACCCAAGCCTGTAGTCCCAGTTATTCGGGAGGCTGAGGCAGAAGAATCGCTTGAACCTGGGAGGCGGAGGGTGCAGTGAGCCGAGATCATGCCACTGTACTCCAGCCTGGGAGACAGAGTGAGACTCTGTCTCAAAACAAAACAAAACAAAAGTAGAAAAAATTGATGTGACCTTATGATAGAACACATTTAAGTTATCAAAAAGAATGAGCTACATCTTCTATAAATGCTCTCCAAGATGGACTGTTAAATGAAAAATGCAAAGTGCAGAAAATTATGTATCTGGTGTGTGACTTTTAAATGTGATTTACATGTGTGTTATATGTGATTACATGGATTGATATTTTCTAGAAATAAATATAAAAATATTATTAACAGTGGCTATCCTTGGGGAGCAAAACTAAAGACTGGTAACAGAGAAGACTTTAATATTTTCCTTTTACACGCTTTACCATTGGAATTATTTTACTTTAAAAGCCTTTTTTTTTTTTTTTTTTTTTAATATTTTTGAGGAAGGGCCTTGCTGTATTGCTCGGGTGGTCTTGAACTGCTGGCCTCAAGCAGTCCTCCCAACTCAGCCTCCCAAAGTGCTAGGATTACAGGAATGAGCCACCACACCTGGCTAAAAAAAATAAAAATAAAAATAAAATAAATGTATGTGCATGTATGTCTGCAGATACGTTTGTAGGGCTTTAGAACCCTTATAGCCTGAAGTCAAGAGAAATGGGTCCCACTCTTGATTGCAGCAAGGATGCATCACAGACCAGTTTGAGCCTTGTCTTTATTCCTTTCAGCCTTTTTTGGAGGTTGGGGAAATCATCTTGATTGTCAAAGCAGAGCTTTGGGGAAATTCTCAGAGCAGATATTCAAAGGTTATTTTCTTATAGGATGAAGGAGGACAAATGGATGAATGTTCAAGTGGGAGATATAATAAAACTAGAAAATAATCAACCTGTCACGGTGAGTACCTCTTTTGGCTGTGACTTGTTCTTTTTTGGATTGAGTGGGTAACCAGGGACTCTTGGAGCACTTCTGCTACCACTCCTTTTGATGACCTTCGTTGCCTCATTTTGCATCAGAAATCAATAGCTCTTGCAGTAAGAAGCTTGTCCTTGCCTATTTCTCACTTTAGTTACAGGGAAAGTGTGAGTAGCTTTGGGAGAGGGTGTATGATAGCAGTGATAGATCCTAGACAAAGAAAGTAAATCAGTGTCTGTAAAATGCTTAGGGTGAACATCTGTTCCTAAAGTGACTGCTTTTGTCACACTATAATGTTAAGAGCCCACCTTCCTGCTTTCCTGACTTTCTTTGACTTTTCTGACCACAGGCAGATATGCTATTACTCTCTAGCAGTGAGCCATATAGTCTGACATACATAGAGACAGCAGACCTGGATGGGTAAGTGTTCCCTGCTGACGCTCCATTAAGATGATTTAGCCAGCTTAGAGTGGTCTCTCACTGAGGGGTAGCATTAGGCAGGGAATTAATTTTATTCTCAGATGGAATATTGAATATATGAGCCAGAGAGCCTAGAAATATCCAGATAAGAGAGATGGACACCACATCCTTGGGACCCTCAAGTCTAAGACTGAGCTCTTGACAGGAACAATTGAGCATTCACTGGGCACAGAATAGGGCAAATAAACCCCACATTCTCCATCTCTAAATTAGAGACACTCTGGCCATATTCTATAATGCTGAGTAGCGGGAAAGAGGATAACAAAACTGTAACATTTCAGAGTACAGTTTCAAAGTTTCCAAGGGAAAAATTTTGAATATAAAAGTATCTATTCACTGATAAAATACCATGTTCTATAAAGGATTTAAGGTAGAAATTTATTAACATCCAAAAGCTAAGGTCTTAAGAGGATACAGCCATCTGCAGAAAGCTTCTCCTGGGAGTTTTGTATTGATCTTCATTCCTACAACTGTACTTCTTGATGCACACAATTTTTTGAAACATGGATTCCATTTTTCTTTTTGTCTATGCATTCCAGCAAGCAGTTACTTAAGAGCCTGTCATGGGCCCCATAAATATTTATGAGGTGTGGAGTATGTTTCCTTGGAGGTATGTGCAAGTTTTTACCAGGATCTGCTCCTTATTCTTTTTTAAAAATTTTAATTTAATTTAAAAAATAGAGACAGGGTCTCACTGTGTTGTCCAGGCTGGCATTGAACTCCTGAGCTCAAGTGATCCTCCCACTTCTGCCTGCCAAAGTGCTAGGATCACAGGCATGAGCGACCATGCCTGGCCAAACTCCTTGTTGTTTGTTTATTTTGTTTTTGTTTTTGTTTTTTTGAGACGGAGTCTCACTCTGTTGCCCAGGCTGGAGTACAGTGGCGCAATCTTGGCTCACTGCAAGCTCCACCTCCTGGGTTCACGCCATTCTCCTGCCTCAGCCTCCCAAGTAGCTGGGACTACAGGCGCCCGCCACCACACCCAGCTAATTTTTTGTATTTTTAGTAGAGATGGGGTTTCATCGTGTTAGCCAGGATGGTTTTGATCTCCTGACTTCGTGATCCGCCCGTCCCAGCCTCCCAAAGTACTGGGATTACAGGCATACTCCTTATTCTTGAAGGGAGCAGATACTATCTCCAGGTTATTTACAATGTTTCTTCAGCCTCTAGAGCACCTGACCAGCTAGATCTCATGAGTCAAGTAGTGGCAGTGTGTTGCAGGGAGTCAGAGGAAAGAGATGGGAGTGAATGGCTAACACTCAGCTTCCTTGAAGAGCCATCTCACCTCAATACTGAGAGAGGAGCAGTGGGAGTGACTTTTACAGCTCAGACTCAAAGCCCAGGCTTTACTGGTAACATCTATTTTCTAAAACCCCATGAAAAAGTAGGAGATACTGCACCTGTGCAACAGTTCTGTTTGTGTCCTGTACTCTGGTCACTTGTCTTTTACTCTAGTGAAACCAACCTGAAAGTGAAGCAGGCCATCTCAGTTACCAGTGACATGGAAGATCACCTGGAGCTTCTGTCTGCCTTTAATGGTGAGTTAGGAAATGGGTTTTCCTACCTAAATTTTCATCAGTAGAGGACTGGTTAAATAAAGTATGCTACATCCATAGTGATTTCTATACAACTTATTACAACAATATGCAAGTTGATATTTATTGAAAAATAAAAAATACAACATGTAATTAAAAGAAAAATACAATTTATAAAAGACTGCATGCTGTATATAACATAAACCTGTTTTTGGAAACATGGGTATGTTTATGAGTACTTATATAGAAAAAACATAGAAGGATGTACTTCAAAAGGTAAATAGCACTTTTCTCAAGACACTGAATGAATTTTACTTCCTTCTTTACCATTTTAGTATTACTTAAACACTTACAAAGGGCATATTTACTTTACTAATCAGGAAAAGGTCAAATTGTTTCCATTTTGAAAAAAATACTAGGTTCGCTTTAAGTCATTTTTGAGTTTCTTCAGATTTGGAGCTCATATGATCTGGCAGTACTGATGTCACCATCATGTGGGGTTTTCTCTCTGTCTGGATGATCCATGTCACATACAGAGTTATTCTTCTTTAGTGCTGAGAAAACCTTTGTCTGCCTTTCTTGAAGGAGCTGGTGAGAAATGCACAGTAACTGAAAGAGGCTAGGAAAAAGATGTGTATGTATTTTGAAAGAAGGATTTTATTTCCTCCTTTCTATTAAGTCTCCTTCCGTCCTTAGGAAAAGCCTAAGATTACAGATGCAGAACTCTTATACCTTCATTTTTCTGCAGGAGAAGTGAGATGTGAGGCTCCCAATAACAAACTGGACAGATTCTCAGGAATACTGACCTATAAAGGGAAAAACTACTTCCTGGACCATGACAAGCTGCTACTCCGAGGCTGCATCATCAGGAATACAGACTGGTGCTATGGCTTGGTGATCTACACTGGTGCGTTTCCCTTGGCCCCCAGACTAAATTCCATTCATGGCTGAGCTATGGTACTTAGTTTTCAGGATATGGATATGACACTTGGATATATATCAGAACACTATGGCTTTGAGATAGATAGGTGGGTGGGTGGATGGATGGATGGATGGATGGATGGATGGATGGATGGATGGACGGGAGATTTGTGGGAAAAAAACCTTGTTTCTGAGGGGGAAAAAAGTGACTTCTGTTTCCAAGCAATGAAATTCCAACATATCGGTTCTACCTTTGTTAGAGGAAAGCATTGCGTTCCAAAACCACAGGGCACTCATGAGTCTCTTTGACCAGATCTGGACACAGGAGAGGGTATACATACAGAGGAAGTACAATAGAATTACCACGTGAAGGGGGAGAGTATACATGTGAACTATTCCCATGAAGAGAGGATGGATACAATGCTTATTACAGAGAAAAATATAATGTAAAAAGTTCATGCCAGAGAAAAGTCACATATGGATCATTAATAGTGGCCCCTCTTGAGATGTCATTTAGAACCACAATTCATTATATTTAGTAAGAGATTTTCTTGGGTTATGATGTGGTTCAGGAAAATGGAGGAAGCCTCTGTGCTACCCCAGTCCCTCAGTGACAACAACCATAGTAGGAAATATCAAGAAAGATTTACCACAGTGAATATTATTCAACTCAGATTCCCAGAGCTCCCCTTCTAGAGCATCTACTCCTAGACATGAGTCTTCTACACTCCTTGCTTCTGTGAAAACTAATGAGACCAAATCCCTAGGGAGAAGCTTAAGAGTCTAGGGAGGCCCTGGTGGAACTTCTTTCATTGGTTCTTGATTTAGAGTGGCAATGACGAGGCTACCTAATTCCCAAACTCAAAAGACTTAAATTAGACTTATTTTCTTCACTGTATATACTTCAGCAACTACTCACACACAATTGCCACTCATAAAAAGTTCATTTTTCAGCAAAATGTTTTTCTTTCCTGAAAGCAGTAACAGTGAGGCTGCCAACCAGCACAAATGTAGTTAAGTTTTCCCAAGGTTGGTTACATTGTAGTATCTTTGGGAAGCTCTGAGCAGAGACTAATGCCACCTAAAAGCATTTTGAGGTATTTGTATGGAATTGAGTTGCTGTTCCTGCTACATGATGTCCAAGTTCTATGATGATTTCTACCTTCTTCCTGAAGCCTCGGGCAAGTCAGTCTAAGGACCCTTAGAAGATATGGTACCTGTAGCTTCCAGGCTGTAAGCCAAACTTCTCATGTCTTGAAGCCCTTTGAGGAATGTTTAAGAGGAAAGAATGGCATAGCTTATGCTCTGCACTCCCACTGTTTGTCCACATATCAGAGATGTCCCAGCTCCCCGTGTGTAAACATTGATGAAATTCCTTTATCTGTCCTTTATCAGAACACATGTTGGAATAATGGTCAGATGGCGAAAGGCCAGAAAAATTGCTGCTTACAGTTTCTTCTAAACCTCTTACATTTTCTCTGGAGCCATAGCTCAAGTTAGTAATTTCCAGCTCTAGTCCCATTGGCCATTAAAAGCTCCTTACTTCTGCGTACCATCTGCCCTGTCGTGAAGAAACATGGAATCTCTGTCTCTCAGCTCCAGAGGAGTCTCAGCTTCCCTGCTTCCACCTCAGAAGAAATCACTGCCATTGCCTTTTTGTTTCTTCCATTCCCAGTTAGAAACTTTCAATATAGCCTGAGCCAGCAGTGGGCTTCCTCAAAAGATGATGGGGATCTCTTTATCAGAAAATTTTTTCCCTAAGCTAAATAAACCAGATGGTGATAAGAGAGAAGCTTGCGACTCCTCTTCTAATTTAACTCATCCATGAAAGTTGAGACTGTCTGAGGAGCTACAAAGAGAGGGATCTGCATGAGTGTACTTTAAAGAAGTCATTGGAACTATCCTTAGAAAAAATTTTCCGTTTTTTGAGTTATTGAAAACTGTGAGCCCTTCTCTAGGACTTTATCCTCTAGCATTGGAAAGTGGTTAGGTTAGATTATCATAAAGATACAGTTCAACCAATTCCGAGCCTCTGAGTATGTTCAGTGATTCTAATATCTGGTATCTTCCTGTTTTATTTAGGGCCAGACACCAAATTAATGCAGAACAGTGGAAAGTCCACTTTTAAACGAACACAGATAGACCATCTCATGAATGTCCTTGTACTCTGGGTAAGTTAAATACTTTTTTTTCTTTGTTTCTTTGCAAATAGACATACTTCCCTTCCTTTCACAGAAGAAATGGCATTTCCAGTTCAGAATTTAGCTGTTTGAAAGTCTCAAGCAGTCTTAGGATCCCAGAGATTAAGATCTGAGGCAGAAAAGAACAGACAAGTTACAAGAGAGTCTAGCTTATACCTCTGTTAGAAAGAATAGTCACAAAGTATTTAAAAAGATATTATGCTTTGATTAGTGGTACAAGAATGGATCAAGGACCCAGTTTAGAAATTAAGACATATTTTTATTTTCTTATAATCAGTTTTATTCATGACCACTTTAATAAAACCTTACTTAGACTAATAAAACACCTAATTTAAACTGAAGATTTTCAAACTCTTTTCTTAGAGGAGTCTTAAGGTCTGGTGCAGTGGGAATAGGGGAGATCAAGTGGATATTATTCTAGCCTCCTCATTTTGAAGTTCTTGCTTTAAAAAGAACAACTTCATGTTTATCTATTTTATATAATTTCAGTTGTAAAAATAGAGGGTGTTCTATTAAGAAGTGAAATTTGAAAAGCACTACAATATATAACAATCAGCTTTGATAAGAGATGTTTAAGTTGAAGACTAATAAATAATTTCTGCTATCTGATATAAGCTGACTTTATTCTTCCTAGATATAGACAGATTAATTTCCTCTCTCAAACAGCTTCTTTGCATAGCTGAACAGTTCCTGTAATGCCTACACTTGATCTCATAACTTTTCAATTTATTTTTACTGTATTGTTTAGACTCTGAAAACTCAAAAAATACCTTTTCTTTGTATATTCTTATCATTAATATTTGAATTATGAACTGCCTTTTCTTCTTTATTATGGGAAACATCCCAGATCCTTTTCAAAATCCTTTGGATCTAGCAAAAGGGATTTTAGAAAATTAGGAAGGTTCGTTCAGCTCAAAAACTAGTATTCATTATACTTCTCTTTCTACTATTGAGTAAGTAGTTTTCAGCAGTTGATCAAAGTTCCATTTCCTAGTTTCTTAATGAGGAAGACAATCATGGTCAAGAATTCAGGAAGGTAACATGGGCAAATATGCTTTTGACAACATTAGCAACATATATCATTAGACAGTAGGCTAGGTCATTTAGCCTAGGCTTGTCTTCAAAACAGGATGTCTTCAAATGGGTGTGATGGCCCACACCTGTAATCCCAGCAGGTTGGGAGGCCGAGACAGGAGGATTGTTCAAGCCCAGAAGTTTGAGAGCAGCCTGGGAAACAGCGAGACCCCATCTCTATAAAAAACAACAACAAAACACAAAAACACAGGTGGAACAAGATGGCTGAATAGAAGTCTTTATTAATCACCCCCCCACACCCCCACAGAAACACCAAATTTAACAACTATCCACATATAAAAGTACCTCCATAAGAAACAAAAATGAGGTGAACAATCACAATACCTGGTTTTAACATCATATCACTGAAAGAAGCATTGAAGACAATCTTGAATTACTGATGCCACCATTCCCCCATCTCCTGGTGGCCATGCATGGTGCAAAGAACTTGTAAGCTTTGGGGAGGGAGAGCACAGCAATTGTGGAACCCTGCATTGAACTCAGTGCTGTTCTGTCATAGCAGAAAGCAAAACCAAGTTGAACTCCACTGACACCCACCCATAGAGGGAGCATTTAGACCAACCCTAGCCAGAAGGGAATCGCCCATCCCAGCAGTCAGAACTTCAGTTTTGTCAAGCCTTACCACCTTGGGCGAAAGTGCTCTGGGGTCCTAAATAAGCTTGAAGGCAGTCTAGGCCACAAAGACTACCATTCCTAGGCAAGCCATAATACTTTACTGAACTCAGAGCCAGTAGACATGAGGTGGGGGGGCAGGTGCACACAACCTAGTGAAACACCAGCCAGAGCAGAGAAGGTAATGTTAATGCTACCACTCCCACAACCCCAGGCAGCACAGCTTACAGTAACAAAAGTGACTCCTTTCTTCTGCATGAGGAGATGGAAGAGTAAAGAGGCCTTTGTTTTGCAAATTGGAGACCAGGTCAACCACAGTACCATAGGGCAGTGGACAGAGTCATGAGGCCCCTATTCTAGGCCCTAGCTCCCAGACAGCATATCTAGATATACCCTGGACCAGAAGGGAACCTGCTGTCTTGAAGGGAAGGACCCAGTCCTGGCAGGGTCATCACCTGCTGACTAAAGAGCCCTTGGGCCCTGAAGGACCAGCAGCAGTACCCAGGTAGTACATTATGAGCCTTGGGTGAGACTGTAGAGTGGCAGCATCTAGATGTGCTGGCTTCAGGTGAAACCCAGCACATTCCCAGCCATGGTGACTATGGTGAGAGACTTCTGCTTGGGAAAAGCATAGGGAACGGTAAAAAGGACTTTGTCTTACAGCTTAGGTACCAGCTCAGCCACAGTGGGGTAGAACAGCACGTGGGCCCTTGGTGCCCCTGATTCCAGCCTTGGCTCTTAGATGGCATTTCTGGACCTGCCTTGAGCCAGAGGGTAGCCCACTTCCCTGAAGGGTGAGTCCCAAGACTGACAGTATTCAACACAAGCTGACTAAGCCCTTGGGCCTTAAGTGAACATTGGCAGTAGCCTGGCAGTACCCTCCATAGATCTTTGATGGTGGCCATGGGGACTGGCTCCTCTGCCTGTGGAAATGGGAGGGAAGAGTGGGAAGGACTTTGTCTTATGGTTTGAGGGTCAGGTCAGCCATAGTAGGATAGAATACCAGGTAGACTTCTAAGGTTTTTGACTTCAGTCCCTGGCTCCCAGACTGCATCTCTGGACATGCTGGGGGCTGAGGAAATTCACAGCACTAAAGGAAAGGACATAAGCCTGGCTGGCTTCACCATCTGCTGATTGTGGAACCTTGGGGCTTGAAGTGAACATAGGCAGTAGCCAGGTAGTGGTCACAGCAGGCCTTGGGTGAGACTCAGTGCTGTGCTGACTTCAGGTGTGACTCCAGCACAGTCCCAGTGGTAGTAGCCTCAGAGTTGCTTGTGGCATTCCACACCCAGCTCTAGGTGGCTTGGCACAGAGATAGACTAAATCTGTTAGAGAGAAAAGAAAGAGAACAAGAGTTTCTGCCTGGTAATCCAGAGAATTCTTCCAGATTTATTCAAGACCACCAAGGTGATACTTCTATCAATCTCCAAGAACTGCAGCATTACTGGGTTTTGGGTGCCCTGTAATGCAGATATGGCTTAGATCACAACACCCAAGTCCTTTCAAATACCTGTAAAGCCTTCCCAAGAAAGGTAAAAAGAAGACCAGACTACAGAGACTATAAAAACAATTAATATCTATCTCTTCAATGCCCAGACACCAACAAGCATCCACAAGCATCAAGACCATTCAGGAAAACATGACCTCACCAAACAAACTAAATAAGGCACCAGGGACCAATCATGGAGAAACAGATATGTCACCTTTCAGACAGATAATTCAAAATAGCTGTTTTGAGGAAACGCAAAGAAATTCAAGATAACACAAAGAAGGAATTCAGAATTATATCACGTAAATTTAACAAAGAGGCTGAAATAGTTAAAAAGAAACAGAAATTCTAGAGTTGAAAAATACAATTGACATATTGAAGAATGCATCAGAGTGTTTTAATAGTAGAATTGATCGAGCAGAAGAAAGAATTAGTGAGCTTGAAGACAGGCTATTTGAAGATAAACAGAGAAGATAAAAGAAAAAAAAATGAAGCCCTCATACAAGATCTAGATAATAGCCTTAAAAGGGCAAATCTGGCTGGGTGCAGTGGCTCATGCCTGTAATCCTAGCACTTTGGGAGGCTGAGGTGGGCAGATCACGAGGTCA